GCATAAAATGGATGCACAAGTGAGAGCCGTTTATGGTGTATATGTATATGAGACCTGGGAGGCTCATGAATGGAGGGGCTATGAAACTCTTTAAACAGTTTAAGCTTGATAGTATATTTCGACAGTAGGCCGTGAGGAACTCTTCTGGCGAATATGGGCCAGAAATTCGCCTTCGGCTCGTCCTGTGATCGTATGAGGTAGAAAACGTCTTCACGGTCGTATATCGAACGATATTCTTTATCATTGGACCCGAAAACAGCGATTTAAGGAGCTCCAAGTATCTTTTACAGTTTGATGGAGACCATACTATACACTCAGCGAAAATTTTAGTACATTTTCGCATAAGGCCGGGAAGTACGGTCTAACATACGAGTGTAGAGTTTCCAGGCAATCCAAAAGAGTATGTCAGATCGCGTGTAACAGCCGAATGACAAATACTATTTTTTGTCTCGGACCTGTCAACAGCGAGATTCCCCAACGAGGAAGAGAACGGCACGGCGGCGGACGTGGGGGGTCCAGGGGGAGCGAGCCCCCCCCCCTGGACCCAGTTCAAAAGGAAAAATCCAAATTTGCTAAAAAAAAACAAATACGAAATGAAAAAAAATACCGAAGAACAAGAAAAATAAAAAAAAAGGACAAGAAAAATTTGCAAAAAAAAAAAAAAAAAAAAAAAAAAAAAAAAAAAAAAAAAAAAAAAAAAAAAAAAAAAAAANAAATCAAAGTAAATGTTTGGAAAAACAAATAAATAATAAGACGAGAAGATACGGAAATTATTGGCTCAATAAAATTGAAGGCGAGAGTTGAACTTTTTTAATCGCCAATAAATTGAGAACGGCAGTGTGAAATTTGAAGATCTCTAGCTCATTCTCAAAATATTTTTGCAAGTTTCAAAATGAGATTTAACTCATCAAAATTCCATTATCTGATCAGAAGATATTGACGATTGAATTTCTACCGCATTCTCCCTCAATTAAGAGGTATAATTTCATACCTTTTTACACGGAATTTTTTCATCTACAAAAAATTCTCGCAACATTCTTCTGTAAATTATCTGGTTTTCCAGATGATTCCATGTTTATCAAAGAACACCTTCGACTGATCGCTGAAATACAAAAAACGCATTGTTTCAAATCAACACCTCCAAGCACTTTATTCTCATTGTCATAAGAAATGTTGAGAAAATCACTGTTTTCTCTTCTTTAACAAGTGATGTTTGTTGCTAATTGCTCAAAATCATGTTCTTGAATAAAGTACTGTAACCTCCAGAAAAACACGGAGGTTAAACCTCACCTCGCGTATATTTTTATCGTGTATGATTATTTTTGACATTGTTACTACGTTCACCTCGTGCCGAAAAGTGCCATTTCGTCAGAAGGCCCGGTAAACCGCGAACTAACCGAGCGAAGCGAGTTTTAGAATTTCTCTGACGAAAAATTGCATTCATCACACATTCATGCATTCGTCGAATTTTTCTGACGAAAAATTGCATTCATCACACGGTCCAAAAGTATTTTCTGACGAATGTGGCTTTGTAGGCCGAGCCGAAGGCGAGGCCTATAATCACATTCGTCAGAAAATACTTTGTGGACCTTGTGATGGAAATAACTATTTCGTTTACTCGTAAACAAAAAGTAAATGAAAAGTTGTTTCGTTTACTTGTAAACGAAAAAGGCACAGCTCGGCCACTCGTTGAACGTAACATCACTGTCAAAAAATATTGTTCGACACATGTGAGACAGGAATTTTCAACTCGTGTGATTGGTTCACCCTCGTGAAAATTCCGTCTCACTCGTATCGAAATATACTAATTCATCTTCATTTGACTCGTCTGTTTGTTGCAATCACCTTCGGCTCGTGCAGCAAACGTCACACTCGTCATGATCTGCCACTTATCGCTATTATATCATAATATACTATAGACCACTCGGGCATAAATTTCGTTTTCAACGAATGTGAGTACAGACCTCGCCTTTGGCTCGGCCTGTAAACTTCACATTCGTCGAAAACGAAATTCATGCCCTTGTGGTCTAATATACTAATCCGTTATTTTTTCAGTCTTTCATTGTGAATGAGTATCTTGAACGACTCAATGTCCATTCGTAAAACCCAACTTTCCAGGATGAATCTCATAAATCACAGGACTTTCTCTCTCCTGTCTCTCTCTGTGTCCGCTTAAATTAATTGAAATCGTGCGAAATCTCTACCTCTGATTACACCTCTCTTCCCAAGATATACTGTTACGTCTACCTCGTGTTCATTCAGAATTCCCCCTCTCCGCGCCCATTGACTTAATCCAAACCGTCTCTGTTACGGTTGAGTTTAATCGTCCTGACACTAATTCCCCAGACAAAGTCAGACCATCCGGTCAAGGACTCTCAACTTCCACTGGAGTTCGCTATTTCACGTCGCCTCCCGGTTCTCCACCACTTGAGCGCTCAAACAAACCGAAACACCAAACTTCACATAGAATTTGCTATACTGACGGAAAAAAATCATTCCTCTGCGCAAAGTTATATGTTCCACGGAAGGGATCTTTCGACGTGTTGAATCAAGTAAGTTTTAGATAATAACGAAAGTCTTCACCAAAACATGATAATTTCCGTGGCAATAGTTATAGTTATTCTCGTAAGAAATTTATATGTGCTTTGGGTAACTACAGTAGGTCTTCAGAGAATTATACGGGGACCCGATTAAGAGGAGACTACTATATATGAGTTTTAAAAGTCGCGGGCTATTGGAGTGAGATTTTTCATAGGGGAGGGTAGGGCAAAACGGACCCCTAGAGCAAAACGGTCCACTGACAAAAAATTGGTAATTTTTGTGTTTTTTTTCTTTCCTTCAAATCAGGAACACTGAATGTGTTGAATTAAAAGTGAGTTTCAGGATCATAACCGTCACAGGAGTTTTATAGACAAGAAGTGTCGTTGAACCGCAATTTGATCAGATTTGCTAATCACCTCAAAACACAAATGATTTTGAATTTTTGTTTTTGCTTCCATTCGGAAGCAAAAACTATCAAAAAAATAAAAAAATTATCAATTTTCTGCCAGTGGTCCGTTTTGTCCTAGAGGTCCGTTTTGCCCGCCTTGTCCATTTTGCCCTACCCTCCCCTATATATTTCCAAATTTGAATTCAGGGTGAGTGACTGCTCTTTAACCACGTTAAACTCTCTCCACTATCGCTCCCGTTCTGACTCTTCCCCGTCTGAATATCATTCGTGAAATGTGAACGGTCCCGCTATGAGGTGGAACGTTGTCGCGCATAATAACACTGTATAATATTTCAATTAATGACTTGTCCCATACGGTTCAACTGCTCCAAAATCCACTGCTACAGAGGACAATATTTATCCTGACGCTACACAAGAGAAAGCCTCCCCCCTCCCAATCCTCTCAACTCTACCCTCCACTGGTAATTTCCAGTCAACACTCCGACCTAATCCAAATTGAACTTGGCTCGTGGTTTCCCCGATTCTGCACATATATACGGCAGAATGCCATCAATTTACATGCGTTTGTCTACAGCCTATCCCAGTATAGCGCTGTAAAGCTGCACGATAGACTTTCATGGGTATTTCACACGCATACGTGTCCACAGGACTCAGCAAACATGAAGAATAATATGCGTGCTTCATTTAAAAGGTCATACCGTCATTCAATCCCCGTGATTTCAAATACGAACTCAGCGTCCCGGTAATTATTCTATTCATGTCATTAAGAGAATTTCACGTGTGAGTGATGTCGAATAAATCAATGGAGTTATGTCAGTAATTCGATGATTTTTATTTCAGTTGATGAAATTTAATTCTGTGAAGTTGATACCAAAATTATTAGTCAAGGTGATAAAGTCAGTATTTTATGGCATTCACCAACAAGTGAACCTACAGCTCTTGGGGTCCATGAATAGTTCGGCACGTGTTACCCAGTGCCATTCAGAGTTGCGGGCTTTGGAAATTTGTACGGTGTCGTAAATACTCGGACACGGGGATTAACAGGCGGTCGCGTGGCACCGTGGAATGAAAAATACCGGTGTGAGAAGGTCCGCCTGGGGCGTGCACAAATTGTTCAATATAAAATGAAATAAAGTGTGAAAAGGAAAAGGAAAAACGCAAGTATGGAGGATGGGGAGAAAACGTATGAGAGAAATGGACGTCTGGTGCTCGTCAATCCCACTGGGCAATCTATACCTCCCGCTGCTTCCTCAAACCATTGGAGGTCCAAGAGCCTTTTTCTACCGAGGTAATTATCCTGTCGAAGAATGACCTGTCAGAATACCCAGAAAATGCTGTAAACTGGAGGAAACAGGGAATGATGGAGGGAAAAAATTGATTGGGTTTTGAATTGCATTCTAATCATTCAGGGGGGTACACGTTCGCTGCTCGATTTTTCAATAGCATTGACGCCTTCTCCCATTTTCATTGTGCAAATAACCACTTATCGATTGAGCAAAGTCAATGAGAATATGCAAATCAATGACATTTCATAATAATCCATTTACTGTTGCCACATGTCAATCAAGAAAACCATAAATTTATCTGTCATAATAACTAATGCTCAATACAAAATTTCACACCGGAAACAATAAAAATCGGAGAAATTGTAATATGCGATACCAATTATACGACTGAAGCGCTGCTCAATCTCCCTGGCACCTATAATCTATAATTAGTATTCTGTTGAAAAGAAGAGTAAATGTCAGAAAATCCATCTCATTAATGCGATGGAGAAATATCACGAGAAAAATAATCAAAAATATTTCTGATCAAATAGACCTGAACTCCCATGAACTCTCCTCCTATCCTCATAAATAAACTCCTCCTAGATCCATATAATTAAACATTCAGTTCCACCTCACCGGACTCTCCAACAAATTTCAAACAATATTCTCGAGCGTATTTTCACACGCACTTGAAAATGGATACGTCATGTGGCACGTGTGAATAAATGAGCCCCTATCCTGAGAATCATAATATTGAGAATTGCATTTACTACTTGTCTTACCTAAGTAGCATGTTGAGTCATTCCCCCCAAGAGACTGCTGATGTCGAATGTGCAAACAAGTCCCCGGTGTACGTTTTAAGTATATAGGTGAGAGGACACTGAGTAAGACACGTAGAGTGTACACACCTCAAGAGAGTTGTCTGTCAACTTCAACCTTTCCTACCTTACTCACGTTTTTTATACTCATTCAAGCCCCGTAAACCTGGGCTAGAAAAGCTTTCACGCTGACTTATCACTCGAAAGTCCCTCAGAAACTTGATATCGAATTACATAAAACACAAGGGACTCGAGTCACTTATTCAATTCAATTAAAATAACAACACGTGAATCACTGTTATCACTGGGTGCAGATCGACGCTGTAACACTCCTCCTTCCGGCTTCCTCGTTGTCCCACCAGTGGCGCCGTCCTATTGACAAGGTCAGTCCACCCGTATCCTCAAGGTCGGTATGATTCGGCGCGATCAAACAAAATCCTCTTCATAAATTTTCCCTCCGCTTGAATGTCTCCGTCAATTCTCCTTGGCCCTCGAGCGAAAAGACTCTCCCTTTCTATTATACAAACCCTTTATAGGAGCTGTGATCCATTGACCCTTGTCCTTGATCCCTCTCCAGCCATTGGAATCTGTCAACCCGCATCAAGTCAAGAGGATTCCACCTTCTGAATTTTTATGCGATCCTCCGTGAAGACTCAATCAAACACTACTCCCAGGGGCTCCGCCTCCAATGGTACGGAAACTTCATACGATTAATTCACAACCCGTCTTTTCTCTCCCGTCAATATTTATTTTTACAAATTGAAAGAGGAAGATTGAGGCAAGTTTTTTTTCCAAGAAGGAAAGTCAACATACAAAGAAGTTGCTCCAGTGATAAATTAAACGTCAGACAACCGGCTGTTTCTTATCTATATCTATATTTATCTGTATATGTAGATAAGATCCCGCGTACTGAGGCGGTCGATTTAAATTTCGCTCGCACGTGGTGGCGACGGCGTCGTGCACACGACTGCCGGCACAACGACGCTGAGCGCCGAGCCGGGCGTCCCCATCTCGCGGTTGTCCCTCCAACTCTGGCCAACAGTAGTAGCCTGCAATCTCCTTCGTTTTCTTGTAACCCCCTTATTTTGTTCTATCTGCTCCCCCCCCGTTCATTTGGTACACACTGACTACCTCAGAACACAACTATAAATTAATCAAAATTCATTCCCCACGCTTTCACATGAGGATCAGAGATCATCACGAGAGCATCATCATAAATATCATAATCGCTGAAACACAAGACTGTTCAAGACTGTTGCAAGACTCTTCTATGCCGTGTAATACGGTATGCACGCGGCTCGAAATTTCTCGCGCAATGCAACCGGAAACTAGAAATTAAGGGAGGAATAAATGCAACTGCCGTTGAATCCTCACTGATAAATTCAACTGCACAACTTCCGACTCTATCCGGACGACTTTCGAGAAATCTCCAGCGTATGCAGAAATATTTACGAGAGACCATGAGGCTGAGGCCACAGTATCCGGCACAAATGTTATGTTATTAACAAAAATTCATGTAATCTCATTTTAGAACCTAAACCAAGTAGCATCAACTGATGTTAGTTATCATAAAACGCGAGAGTAGGGCCGCCAGATACGAGGGTTTTCCCTCTTTACTCATTCACTCCGATGTGTCCATGCATTCGCGCTTCTATAACGGGACAGACTGGCGGGCACGTGTGTCTTAAATACCATCTCTCATTTGAGATTATTTATCTCAATGGTTGAGAACTCTTAATGTCTAATGAATTTCAAGTGAAAATGCCATTAAGATATGTATGAATCGAGATCTATTGATTTAATTGGAATAAATTACGACCGCAACGATGATTTAGTGTTCTGGTGACACGAAACATTTGGCTTAATGGACAACTACATAGTCATACATCGTACATGTGGTACCGGGATTGCCTACTGTACTGAAAGGGATAGGCATTAGTCAAGCGTGCAGGACGATCAGTTACCTCGTAGGGCGAGAGTACACATGAGGTTATATAGGTAAACTTGGAATTGTGTACATATAGTTTGGTCAGGAGACATACTGGTATGTATCCACTAACGATCGTGATCTTGTACCCCGCATTCTCGATGTAGATGTGCAAATAACGCGCCAACTTGACCGGCGCCAGTGCGCAAAAGATTGAAATCAGTCGTCTGGTGATACGGCGAGTGAGCATTAAATAATGCACACCTCCTTGAACTAATGAATATGTTGAAACAATAATTTAGCATTTAGTTGGTTCAATTGGTTGTTTGGGTTAATGGAGGCTTGAGATTATTCGTTGAACGAATGGAGGAAGTTCCTGTTGAATGGGGATACTTGGAATAATGAGGAAAGATGAGAGAGAAAACACTTTATAAGTAAAATATTCAAGTTCGTTTTCGCTTAGATATACTACGGGTTTTAGCTCACTCGGCGGCTTAAGCTCGTTTGTAGTTGAGAAGCCAGGCGCACACTGGTTTGTATAAGCCAGAGGGAGCTTAACTAGACACTGAAATACAGTATCATGTATATGTAGCATTTAGACATATACGGGGAGCGAAGAAGGGATAGTTGAGCGTGTCGTGGATCAGTGCAAACATGAGGGTGAATTCATAAATAACGCGCTTTCTTGGAGGACGGAGGAAGCCAAAAGAGCAAATCCGAATGTTGATACATATTCAAATTAGATAATAATTGTAGTTGAAATTTTTTGCACTACTCAATGGACACGCGTGAATTTTGTTATTGCTGTTCCATTTAAACATCTACTTCAGTAGTACAGTGGTAAAGGAAACGGATTGCACTGAGAAAAGAAGATAATTCTAAAAATATAATTCAAATTTGTTTCAGACAAGGAGTTATATTGAAATTTTGTATGAAATTTACGGACATTTGTTTGCCTGAAACAAATTTGATTGGTAAAATTCTATTTTTTCCTTGTGAGTCGACGTCACCTCACCATCAATTCTCACAGGATAAAGTGTGCTTTTTATTTATTTATTTATTTCTTTTTTGGTGAGAAAAACGCTTCTTGAACATTTTCATGAAGTGAAGTTTCCACGGAACTTTCGAGGAATTTCGTCATTAAAAATATACAATTTCATGACAAAATGAAGGGAAATTTCAAATTTCTGTCTCGAGTGGAAATTCAAATCAGGCTAGAGTAAGAGACTGATCAGTAAAAACGGATTTATATCAGTTTTCCATCAGAAATTCTGATTTGGATCCGCGCCTGATCAAAATGCTAGAATCAGATCTTCCTGATCTGTACCGGATCCCATACGGATCCAGTCGAGATTTGACTTATGAGAATAAGATCGGAATTCACTTCATCACATCCTGATCTGAAAATATCCGCTCAAAAAATTCTGACCAGTATTGGATCTTTTTTTATTTGAAGCATTCAAACCGTGTGGTTGGTTTATTCTGCTAAAAAAACAAGAAACAAATGGGTTTACAAAATTATTCTTCAAGTTCTTATGTGCCACAATTTACACCGTTTTCTATCAGTATCGGATCTAACTGATTTAGACCCAGGGAGATTGAGCGAAATTTGCACTCAGATTACTTCACGAGAACTCATAGTGTAATTTATGTGGTAGTGAATATTCATATGTAGTTATATTGGAAATTCAAGTGATTTTCAGAATTCTCGCCTTCCCACGGCCCTACAAGCTGGAATTCTATTGAGTTTTTAGTGGTGGTACCGCAAGTGCTGGCAAATTATCGGTTATTTCCGATAACGTCGTTGCATAGGGCAGAATGTGGGAAATTCTTCGGAAAAAATTTGCAAATTTCTCCTATGCAATGAAGTTTGAGGAAACCAATCGATAATTTCACGGCAGAAGTGGTATTTTTCGGAATATTTTTCCCAATTGAATTTCGACCAATCAGAGCGCAGTATTTAAGGCTACCCGACAGTTTTATTTCGGATGTTTCCTCCTAGCTTTTAAATATTTCGCAGTAGCTCTTCATTTTTTCGGCTCATTTCAGATCGAATCTTGTATTTGACAGTCTACGGAAATCGGGTTATTCTATTAACATAATTTGTTCAAATGTTCCCTAATTCACCTCCTGATATTGTTCCCTCTGCACTCTGATTGGCCGGAATCCGGTTGGGAAAAACAGTCCGACAAATACCCCTCGCAAAATTAATCGAGTATTTCCCTCAAGCTCCCCTGCAAACAAATGATCGTGCCAAGTTTTGTATTTATTATTCTCATCAGTACTCTCAATAATAAAAAGTTAATAAGCATAAGTTAATAAAAAAAAAAGGTGATAAAATTTTTTTTTGCTTGAATTGCGTTCAATAATCGTTTTTCGGGTGCTTCATTTTGCCCCACTCCCCCTATATAATTTCAATTGTTTTTCCAACAGTGTAACAGAACTAAAGAAAAGAATGGAATTTCCTAAATCATTTCTATTGAGAAAAATAAAACCAGCAAAAATACCCATCACGAAAATGTCAATATCTCTCTCAGATTTAGAGATGTTCCTCGAAATCTCGAGAGGGAACGAAGTCGACTGAAATTGTTTCAACACTTCACTGCTGATTGACATGCAGGCGCACCAGTGCCTCTTTAATTCGTCACCTCCTTTGCAGATTGAACGGACACTTAAGCGCTGTTTACCTTTCAACAGATTTTTAAACTGTTTCTTTGCGGTTCTCGACTCCTTCATTCGAGGCATAGTCCATATTTGTTTTTGGTTAGCATATTCAAGGGTTTTCTTGTACAAACACAGGGTGTCTTCCTGACCGTTTTTATTTTTACACGGAGAGAGATGTTCAGTAAAAATGACGGAACTCACAATTCGCTCACCGATTACGGAATTGACTCAGAAAATTTAAGTGACGGTATTGTAATTTTTCACAGGAGATTCAGATAAAAATTACGGAATGCTCTGGAAAAATTCCGGGACAGTTCCGTAAAATTTCCTACAATCAAATTTCGCTCCGGAATTACGGAAAAGATACGTAATTTTTATTGAATATTTCTCTTCGGGTAGATTTATTTTGATAAGAATAAGATTTGCCTGAAATCTTAATAATGCAATTTCGACGTGGGCCGAGGCACCACTGAATCCATA